GTGTTGATGCCTATATATCCAGCAACACTCACTCGGTGGTCTCAAACAAACATGTGCTTAAAAGCTGACATTCAGCTTCTATTGTTTGTGAAAATAGTTTTCTAATTCGTTGCTTGTGTAAAAAGTTATACTGATTTGAAAATGAGTGAAATATCTGAAGAAATACGTTATGTGATGCTTTTTTTACTAAAAAAAAGGTAAAAAGGCTGAAAATTTGTGAAGTTTTTGGCAAGAATGGTGTGAGTAAATGAAGGACCCAGGAGTGGTTTGCTCGATTCCGTTCCCGAAATTTTGATATCGAAGATGCACCCCACTCTGGTCGGCCAGTCACTGAAGTCAAGGAATTTTACAATTGGGGAGCCAGCCCCGCCGTAAGCTGTCAAAAATAGCAGGGCAGGGGCACAAACATCAACCACATACAGTTTGGAATGATTGAAAAGAGCACAGTACACACACACACACACACACAAAAAAAAAAAAAAAACCCTCTATTTTTGATCCACATAAATTGAAACCTGGCGAAACAATCAGTATGGCCCTATACTGTGCACAACTCGATCGTCTGAACGCAATACAGAAAGAGTAGCCAGAATTGGCCAAAGAAAGTTATTTATTGATTTATCATTTGACAACGCGCCACACATTCTTTGGAATTGACAATTGATGGAACTTGGTTGGGAAGTTTTGATGCATCCACCATATAGCCCGAACCTTGCACTGTCTGACTACCATTTTTTTTTTCGGTCTCTGCAAAACTCTCTTGATGGTAAAAAATTGGCCAACCGAAAAGCCGCTGAAAATCACTCACCCAAGTTTTTCGACGATAAACCACAGAAGTTCTGCACCGATGGACTTATGAAGCTACCCGAAAAAAGGCAAAAGATCATAGATAATAATCGTCACTATGTACTTGATTAAAATTGATTTTCAATAAAGAAAAATTTTGTTAAAAATTGTACCAAAAAAGAGCAGAGATTTTTTATATGACCAAATATATAACTTTTATTTAGCAAATTTTAATTTTTACTAGAGACAAAATTCATGATTAAAAATAGATAATACATTATGAGAACATGTAAAATATCTTTTTTAAATATAATTCAGTAGATTTGATATTAGAAATTACAAAACATAATAATCTCTCCCTAATTACCGCACTACATTACTGGAAAAGCAAATTATAAATACACTGAAGATGTGTAAAGTGCAATACCTACAGGATGTTTCAAAGTTCTTGTTATAAGAACTAATATGTATTAAATAATGTCACTATGATGGAAATAGTTTACAAAGATACAGTTTAGCAGCTTAACTGGTATTGGTACAGAACACTCTGCAGTTGAGCCTTTGAGGTGATGTTTCTCACCAAAGTATCAAATAAATAAATACCTCTCATGTGTTCAGACACTGTAAGAAGAGCCACCATGAAAAATGATTTGAGCCCATTCAACATTTTAGTGTCTTGGCATCATTTAAGGAAATGGTGCACACGATATTCAGTCAAACAAAAGAGATAAAGATAAGACACAAATCCTCATTACAATAAATGTTGGTACAATATTGCCTGATATGTCATTGTCTTCTACTGTTGTGATAACAAAACGAATACTGCAGCACAATCCAACACCACTGTATCTTCTGAGTCTGATAGCTCTACTTCTGATATCAGATCACTTCCCTCAATATGTCAAAACTTCTATTATTCATTATTTCCCTGTATACATGGCTGACCTGGTGTTTCACCCAATATAAGCAACTATCTTGTGGTATAAGAAACCACCTTTTCTCTACTTGATAATGCTTCTGCTTTTAAAGTTCACCAATTATTCATAATATCTTGTTTTCTCCCAAAGCATGTTTCTATACACTTGTTTGATAGGTAATTCCAATCAAATGCACTGATGCACACTAAATTCAGATTTATTTTTTATACCCCTTTTTACATCCACTAAGTATGTTTTTAAATGACACTACACGTGTAACCTTAATCTGCACTTGGAGAGAGTTCTAATGCAACTAACCAAACTTATATTGCCTGCACTTCATATGATAAACAATTTGCCTACTGAATTCCTGGCTGATCCCTTAACTTCCTCCTCATACTGCAATTTTACTCAACAGCAGCAGATTTTATTATAAAATGCAAATGTATGGATAGCTAAGAGACTTTGTTTCAAGAATAACTACAGTTTGTCAGTACAAATGGTTTTGCTAATAAAAATTGATACACAAAAATTACAGTAATAAGATAAAAACAAACACTGTCTTAGACACAAGACCTTTTAATTAAGTTTAAAAAAAATCAAATTCCTATTTCTAACAGTATACTAGGCAATTAGCGTTTTCAGCAATTTCAGGAATGAAAATCTTTTCACTAATATCAACCGATGTTAATTATTACACTCAGAATATTTTGTATAAATTAAAGCAGACATTATCTTTAAACTGCATGCACAGTCTTGGAGAATAAATATATGTGTCTTCTGAAATTTACAAAGCCCCCCCCCAAAAAAAAACTTAGCATTCCTGCAGTTTCTTTGACCTTTTTTGATGTTTCATGATTAAATATGATAAATTGGTAATAAAAATTCCAGTATCTGTAACTGAAAAAATTATGCATTTACTACAAAAAAAAAAAAAAAAAAAAAAAAAAAAAAAAAAAAAAAAAAAAAAAAAAAAAAACACTATTATAAAAATCTAATTTATCTAATCATTATTATGAAACAAAAATATATAGAGTACATAGTTAGTTTGAAATCCAGATGTGCCCAATATCTGAACCTTGGGACCACTAGCACCATGGCCAATGATGATAATACACTGATTGACGTTGTATAGATGTCGGCAACAACATATTTTTGGCGTTTGAATGGAGATTAGCATTTTTTTATCTGATCTACACAATGTGTGAAACCACATACTTATTGGGAGTAGGATGTTACCAACACTAATTTTTTTTGTTGACATAGTAGTGGAGAAAGAAGAAATAATTTACATTCTCAGGAATTCAAGTTCGGTTAACACAGAAAATTGCACTCTTTCTTAACATTCTAATTTGATCCAGCTTGATATTTTTCACAGGGTACTATTGTTAGAGCTATTTTATTAAAGTCTAAATTTTTGATTATGTCAAAAAGAGTTTCTAATTCAGGTGTTGCAGCAGGATCAGAAAAGCAAAACGAAGTATGTTTTGATACAGGTCAATCAAATAGTGGAACTACTGCAAAGAAAGGATATATGCATATCTGTCTCAAAATTATGCAAGGAGTAAGGGACTAAAATAAATAAATAAAAGCAGCTTTTTGAATTTTTTTTCTGGTTTCTAAAAACAAATAAAATAAAAATCATTCATTAAGCTAAAAATGATGATCATGACAAAGTGAAGACTGAATGGGTGAAAGAGTGCTGCAGCGACGGCATGCCATTATCCGGCCCAATGCATATGAACATATTTTGGCTTAAACCGAAACATTTCATGTGGAAATAAAACTTAAAACTGACTGCACATATCTGACATGCTGGTTAACCAAGTTCAAAATTCGTCATGGTAAAAGGCAGTGAAAAATTTCAGTTGAAAATGCTTTAGTTAACAGAGAAAAGTTATCTCCAGACCAAATTTATAATGCTGATGGCAATGTTTGCCCTAAAATACAGAGGGTGGTTACATATTTTTTGATCAATTTTAATAAAGAAAGCTAATGTCCTGGAATAAGAATTTCTAGCAACAGCTTGTTATTTGAAATGGGAAATATCATTTGCTACTTTTAAATGTATTCTTCTTTCAAAATGTCACATGTAAACAAGCTGTGGATTGAAGGATATGTTCTTACACTTTCCAAAGAGAAATATTCCTACTCCATAATTCAAAAGCATCTTATAGTATTAAAATGTCTAAGTGTAAAATACGCAATGTTATTAATTAAAAAAAAACAGTTAATTATTACTTCTAACTGGAAAGAAGACTCATCAATACCTGAAAAAGGTTTGTATTATTTCTAATGTTTCTAAAGATCAATCGCTAAAATTTACAAATTATACCATAACGAAATGTTTAATAAAATAAATACTGAGTTTTCAAAATTCCCTTAAAGGTTATAAATACTTCATTATTTCACACTTTTAATTTTATAATTTCTAGAAGTCATCTTACTATATTTTATTTGATGATCTAAAATCCAAAAATTTCTGAAATATGGAATTGATAAAATTCCGACAATTCTGGATTGAAGAAGCTCTGAATTGAAAAGGGCAATTAATATACTTTTTTATTAGGATTTACAACCACAAGATGACAAATTTTGCAAAGTATGAGAGGTGAAAAAGTAAAATACTAGCTAGAAAACAAACTTGCTTTTATAACAGCCATATACTAAATAATTTATGGCTTTCTCTTACAACTCTTAAAGCATTTTTAGCATTTTACTTCCTTTCATTTCTTCTTTATGCTTTTTCTTCCAAATTAATCAAATACTGTTGCCATGAAGTTTTATGGGATGACATACATATGTCTATCATTTCGAAAATAGATACATCTGCTGTTGCTAAAGCTTCATTATGAACTATTCTGAGAATAACAAGAATTACAGTAACTCATCATGTGTTCCTTTTTAAATATAAAAATTTTTATGTATTGATTTTTATTAAAATAAACCTATTAAGAAGACTAATGTTTCATTTAAAAAAAAATAATGTTTTTTTCATTCTTCATTACAATGACTTTTATGTGACTAGAAAAATTGGTATTATAAATTATATTTCTTTTTTAATAATCATTATCTTGCACGTCTAAAAATTTAATTCTTAAAAACATATCTTCTACCTCAGAGCATTCGCTTAATGCAATTTACAGACAAGTACACTCCCTTTTTGTATTTCCCTTTACCTACTTAATATGTTTTAAAATAGATAACTATACTTCTAAAATATTATCATAAAAATCCTTTGTAGCATATTCAGAGCTACATCAATTAAAAAAATGTAAAAAAATCTAACTGTCTTACCTTTTTTGTTGGGCTGTGCTTACTCGAACAGTCTTTGAACCAATATGAGCGTTCTGCATTTCAACTAAAGCAGCTTCGTATTCAGACTTATTTGAAAAATGAACAAAACCGTATCCTTTACTTACACCAAAACTATCGTAGATAACTGAAAAATGTGCAAATACAAATTAATAGAAATCGCTTGAAAATTAATAGAAAATATATTATTCATTACTTCCACATTAATTTCATAAATCATCACTTAGAAATTTATTATTTAATTTACATTTTTAGATGTTAAATTATAAAAGCAGTCACTTAAAATTATCTAAGATTTCTGGGGTTGGGACACCACTACTGATAGAAAAATCAGTTATTTTTATAAACCTTAAACAAATACAACATCTCAAACAATTTCAATATTCCATCAACCACGGAAGTGGGCAGAGATCCTGCCAAGCTTGCATTACCCATACTAGCAAAATTTTGATCGAACAAAAGATTTAATCAACAGGTACAATTTATGGATATAGCATATAAAAACTCAAATAGCTTATCATAAATTTTTCACATGGAATCCTTATTTTTTTATCAATTTTCGAGTAAAATCGAACATCATGCACATCAACATAATTTTTCGTGATGCCAGGATTCTGTAACTTATCAGCTAAATTTGTATAATTACTTATTTCAGTCTCTGTTTTCATAAACTCACATTTCATTAAGATAATATTTACATTATTTTAAAAAGTAAGAAAACAAAATATCTAATATATAACAACTGACAAAAAATCTCATGATGAGATAAAGACAGTCAAGCTGCTCAGAGGGTTACATTGCAGGAATAACTAAGGGGTAGATTGCAAACTACATCACTACCAGCTTTTCTAATTTAAAGAAAAAATCTAAAATATCTCAGTTACATCAACTTCACATTTAACGGATAACAAGGCTCTTACTATATTTATGTTTCTAGAAAAGTTTCAATAAAATGAAAGAAAATGGCAATGCATTTTAACATATGTTTTTATACCCATTTCTATTTAAATGCAGAACTTTATACATATGATCATTATTACCTAGTCTAGGCACCCAAAATTAAATTAACAAAAAATGAAATAAAGATGTTTAATATTCTTTTTCTATTTTTTTATTCATGAGATTTTAAAAATGTATATGCAGGAAAGCAATATGTTATATTAAAAATATTTTTATTACTTAAATTAATATTCCAAATATTCATAAAAATTATAAATTGAATGTACCGGAAGATTAGATGAAAAGATTTTAATCTCATCTACCACACTTACATACATATCAAATGAAAAATTAATAAAACACTTATGTTTTGGCAAACAGCCAGATTCACACAACCTGTTATTTACAAAGCTACACAACAGATAAAAGATCTCCCACTGCATGCAGTAGTAACATTTGCAGAGCTACAGAGATGATAATTGCACAGTGTATAGAACAATATAATGACTCACAAAAAAAAAAAAAAAAAAAAAAAAAGCAAGAAGCATACTTAAAAAGATTTTTAAAGCTGGCCAACAATTTAAAACACACTCTTGACCCCTAAGAAAGCATGCGTGTTGCATTATACCCAACCTCTATAAAAAACTGGAATATTCCCAACTTGTGAAATCAAAATTCTGTATGCACTGAACTTCACAATTGGTTTTCCATTGCACAGGTTTTCAGAAAAAGTTTCATTGGTATTTTGTAGCAACTGAGGTATGTCACACCCTATGTGCCTGTCTGCGTAAGCATTTTTCTGATGGGATATTTATTTATGGAGTGCAACAGTAAATATTTCTACTCGCAAGTAATTTTAGAGTGTATGAAATTATACATTTAAAGGTTCCTAAGGGCATTATATGGCAAAAAGAACGCGTCCCCATGAATTGGAGATGCAATGGCAAGATTTATTAGAAATAGTTGAAAGTGATGAAGTTTGCACTTGGGAAATTGATGATGATACTGACAGTGAAATATTCAGCAAGCATAACATAGATACACTAAATGACGATGAATGCTTTTGACGATTTTGTTAGATAAGATGGGGGGGGGGAGAAATTTAGGCAAAGTCCAAGATTTCATTCACATAGTATGACTCATCTTCCAAGACCTGCAGGACAGGCCAGAAATGTTACCGATCCATTTAGTAGTTGGAATATTCTTATTGATAATACTATATTATCAATATTATACAGTGCAAAGAGCAGAAACATATGTGCATGCGATGCTGAAAATGTGAAAATTTTCTGTGCCAAGAACACACGAATGTATTTTGTTCAAAGCATAAACAGATAAAATAAGCATTGTGTATTGGAGATGTAATAAAATTTACAAGTATGATGTTTATTTTGTTATTATTTTCATAGCAATTAATTATAGGTCACTGAGGCAGGTGCAGAATAATGAAATACTGAATTGCCAAGAGAAATTACATTGATAGAAAAAATAGTTGTTACACTAGACAAAGTGCTCACAGAAATCATTACAAGATTTCAATATCTATATTTCTTATATCTTCTATATTGTACCAAAATTTTTGAATGAAAATGTAAATATCACATAAATTATGATCATGATCACATGAATAGGAAAAATTACTTATTATGAATGAAATATTTTTATTTCTGCTATTGCTGAGGAAAGCAAAACACGGACATGAAAGGATGATCTTTATGAACTTTTGAAATTTATTCTAAAGTATAAAATTCACAAATATTGTAATTCTATAGCAAACTTTCCTCACAGATGCTTCACTTCTAGTTGTGAGAATAGTTTAATTAAAAAAAAAAAAAAAAAAAAAAAAAAAAAAATTATACAAAGTACATAAAGCTCTCCAGATGTATATTTTGAAGTCAAATTTTCCTATAATGTGTACACAGTAATGGCAACTACAGCAAAGTAGACCTCTACAGTGTCCTTGATGATTTGGCAAACAGAAAAACAAGCAAAATAATAATTTAATTCTAAAATGTTAAGAATTGAAGTTTTACAAAATTTTTGGATACCAAAACTGTTTGAAAGCATGAAATGGCACTTCTACTTCTGATTTTATTCATAATGCTTAATAACTGATATGATAAATTGTAAAGTATATATTATGTTAATTAATCTAATTCAAAGATCTCTGAATCAGCAAACTTAAATTATGATCATCCTGTATATATATATATGTCATATTAATATTTACAAAGTTAAAAAGATAAGTAAGATTCATTATTTATATATGTTTCAAGTCCAGTTTTGAAGCAAATTCTTGCAACTTGCTCATAAAAATAATACCAACAGTAGATTTAAGATATAATTTTATAAATATAGATTGGTAATGCACCATATTAGTAATTTTATTTTTAATTTTCTCTCCATTATCAGTATATTTCAATGCTTTTAGCTTCATTTTAGTAATTAACATTTCCATTTGCTCATCTTTTCAAATTGATGTATATTAAAAATAAACAAATGAAAAATAATGTATGTTAAAGTTATTTGATCTACTTAACACAATACATACAATCTGTAATAAAAAGCATAAACATACATAATATTCATTGCTTGAAGTGCCATAACTAAGAATTTATAATCACCATCTCCTAAAATTGGCAAACACTGATAAAAAAAACTGCAGTTTAAATGGAGCCAAGGAAGAACCACAATAAGACATTTTTTATTTTCTTGCAAGAAAATAACACACCCCCACTGAAAATACAAGCAGAAGAACAAAGACACCCACACCCCCCCTCAAACACACCTATTTTGCTCTCCCTTTCTTTCGTCCTTCACGAAAATCCAACAGCCTCAACGCTCCGAGCAGTCTATTGATTTATTACCCCCTTGTCATTTTAACTATCTTATTAGCCATTTCTTTGACCCCCCCATGCTTCTACTCATAATTCCTTTTCACTGAATTTTGAATTTTATCCATACATTGAAGATCAACCATTTGTCCCACAAACTGCTTATCTATTCTGTCTTGCCTACATATTCTCAAAACGCAAACCATTTCCTTTATCATCTTCCACCATGCCTATCAAAAATCAACGCTCCGGTACACATTCATTATATTTTACATTTCCTTCCCCCCTAAGAGGCACACTGTGCTTTTTCCCGTACAACACTCTTCCGACAACAAACAACATCACATTCCGAAATTACTCCACAACTCAGACAGATAATGCCTTTCTAGAAACCCTTCCCCTTAACCTTGCTTGTGCTCACGTTAATCTATTATGCCAGATGAACATGGCAGTGGGCTCGATGCCCACTGAAGAACTGGTAGAACACGTTTCTTAATACGTATGCTTTCACACGCACAAAGCGAAATTCTCATCTGATTCAAAAGGTTTTGTGTTAGTATAAATCAAGAAAATTCAATTGCTGTCAGACAAATCCAAAATCACATTTTTTTTTTGGTTCTATAGCATGCTTTCATAAATCATCTGATTTTGTTTTAGGTTCAATTGCTTTCAGACATCCAAAATCACATTTTTTTTTTGGTTCATATAGCATCATATAATCACTTTTTTTTTTGGTTCATATAATATATATGATATTTTTGGTTCATATATATATTTTTGGTTCATATAGCATATTTTTGGTTCAAATATTCATATAGCGTTTTATGGAACTTAATACTTATATTAAGTATTAAGTTCCATAAAAATCATGAGAAATTTTAAGAGTAAGTCGGGAGAAATATATTGTAAATCAGGTTGGCGGGAGAGTTGACAACTCTGCTTCATTACTATCTTCAGTCTAAACATATTACAAACTTTAGTCAATATAACCGTTTGCGTAATAACTAACATTTCTGCAACACATAACAGAAGAACTGCTTTTTTATATCTATATATAGCACTATTTAAATTAGCCCATTTATACCAATACTTGGATGATACAGAACCTGAATTAGGGCTTGTATTATTCTTGTCAAAGAAATTTTAATATAAAAGACACTCATCAAGTGTTACGGCTATTTATTATACATGTTAAGACACATCATCTCTTATTTTTCTCCCATGGTTTATTCTAACAACTTACTGATGATTCTGAGCAGGTTTCTGACACCTGATTTAGAGAGTGGATATTGGCAAGTAGAGATAAATTCTGACGATTGAGAAAAGACGGCATTTACTACTGGACAAGGACTTGAGCAGTTCAAGATGAAGCCATTTAGATTATATAATGCGGTAACAACATTTGAACATCTCATGAACATGGTGAGAGATCTTTCCTACAAAGCCTGTCTGATATATGCAGATAACATCATCATTAGAAAATATTAAGAAGGTGCTTCAGAAATCGAAGGAAGCCAATCTAAAATTAAGTCCTGCCAAACATAAATCGTTCAGACAGGAAGTCATTTAACTCAGTCATGTAATTTCCCAAAAGTGTACATATCCAGGAAAATTGTCTGCAGTTTAAGAGTGGAGATACCCCCAAAAAATGTCCATTAGCTGAGAAGTTCCCTGGAGCTTTACACCTACTATAGAACATCTGAAAAAAACTCTTCTTCCATAGCAAGATCCCTTTACAAACTGACAGAGAGCAACCAAAAGTTCTAGTGGAAAAAAGAATGATAAGATGCATGAGGCTGATGCAAACTGAATGAGGCTTTAACTGGGGAACAGTATTTCTAAGAGTATTGAATTTATTAATCACATTTGATTTATTGAGAAGCAAAAGAAAATTTTGCTTTGGAACAAATTTTAATTATTTATTAGTTTCTTGATCAAGCTAGTTTCAAACAGTTAAGGGTTTATTGAGAAGCAAAAGAAAATTTTGCTTTGGAACCAATTTTAATTATTTGTATGCATTTAGTTTTCTTGATTAGGCTAGGTTCAAACAGTTCAGAGTGTTGGCAGAACCAATTATTTGGATTATGTGTGAGATATTGCTGAATTTAACTCAGTAGAGTGGGGGAGCTAAATTGTCTTAATGGAGTAACTTTTTTTAATACATAAAGATTAATTTATTTTTGATAAATTTAACTTAACCAGAATATATATTGTTATGAATTTGGTATTTAAAAAGCTAATGTTAGTTCAATTATAAATTAAATGGTTTTATTTCTCGCGCAGTGCAGCGCGTGACGAATATTAAAAGAAAGCTAAGCCGGAAATTGAAAATACAAGCGCGCATTAAATAAATAAATATCTCTTTTTGATTTTTCGAGAAAGTACTGGAAAATTCTAGCGCGTGATTTTAAAATCTTATAAAAGGAGGAAAACATCTCAGTTTTGTAGGAGTTGCTTAGTTGTTGTTGTTTAGAAAACTGCTGTTGTTGATTGTAGCGAATTCGCGGATTAGCGTTCTTTAGCTGTTTGAATTACGTTTCTATTGTACATTTGAGTAGTTAAAAGATAACTACTGTGAGATATTGTAATACTGCCATGATAATTTGAGAAAATTTAAGCATTTTTGTTGTGATAATAATAAATTTTTGTTCATTTTTCATCGGACTTGTGCATTCATTTTATAACGAACCCGTACGCACGCAACAATATAATCAGAAGGATAACAATCAGCCATATTGTTAGAATACCATAAAATACATCAGTATCTTTAAAAATAAAAAACAAGTTTCAGGTTCTCCATATCTTTACCTTTTGCTAATTTAACAGTCTTGTATCTGGTTACAAATGCATCAAACAAAGCCAAATCGTCTACTTCAGGACTGAGGTCTCCCACAAATAAGGAGTAATCTTTCCTGTTAAAAAGCAAAAATATATAGAGATTAGACATTCAAAACACGAAAAATCTTTTTCGATGAGAAATTTCACGATGATCAGAAATCTGTAAGTTGCTTTAGTATTACCTTCCCAAATGAATGCTTGGTAGCTACATTTTTCTCAAAATTGAGATGACTTCTACCTGTTTAAATGATGGTCATTCAGCATTTTTCCACAGTTTCACAAGGTTACAGAATGACCAGTGATTCACAGATCAGCACAGAAACTAGTAAGCTACAGGGAAAATGTCAGCATCAATTAAATAGCATTACCTAAAAATACACAATTTACATTTGACGAGCTTAGACAGGATGGGAAAAATGTAAATGCCCAGAAACTTTGGAGTCACACTTTTCCTTTTTTCTAGATGACATATTTATGAATACATACACATGATGATTTGGTATCGGGAGTTTTTATGTCTATATTAGAAAGAAGTGCCAAAAAAATCTATGTAATGCAGAATTAAAAGGTGCATTTGGCTTATGAAGAAAGCAATTTCTGATGTTTACAGTATGTAGGATAATTTAACTACATTTTAAATTGGAAATCTAAAAAATTAACCACTGTTTTTGGTACTCCTTTTGAAATATGTATAATTTTATATATTTAACTATTTTTATTAGAACTAAGAACAATAACAAATACAACATAAATTATATATAGAACTATTTAAAAATTATAAATTATTCATACATGAAGACTTTTACCAGCATTTGCAGCTAAATAGTTTTCAGTCTCATAATTCTATTAAACTTCTGAGAGGTAAATACATTTTTTCAACAACTTGTAATTCTTTACAGGTTAAAAAAATCCTCCAATAAAAATTTTAATATACCTTTAATTATCTTTAATTATATTTTTTAAAGATATATCCTAAACACCCCTTAGCAACCAACAGTGTTGCTATATTTATTAAATCTATGTATGAATCTTTTACCTAAATTTAACTCCTAAATAATTTAAATGAAATGATGCCGAACATTCTTATTATTAGTGTTCACACACAAAAAAAACAAAAAAAAAAAAACAGTCTACATTATATATACTACGTATTTTACACTTTAAAGCATAGTCTTAAACATTTTCAGTTTGTAACACTTTAGATAAACAAAAACTTTTTATGGCACCCATTTTAACTTATCTAAAGTTAAAATTTAAAAAATAAATGACATACTTAAATTCTGAAACACTTTATTTAATAGGTTCTAAATAAATCTATATTTTTAAGAATTATATCATTGGATGTTAAATTGAAATTAAAGTAAGAACTTCTTTGTTACCCATCTTCTAAAACCTTGAAATTGCACTGAACATTTTCCACTGATTTTTCTCATGAAAATTGCTTTTTATTGCAGTTATTGCCAAAAACTAATATCTGCAGAGACTTGACCTCATACACAGAATAGCCATCTTTTAATGATATCTAAAATTCAATTAATTCCCTATCCCTAGCTTTGTTTTCAGTGTATTGTCAGAAGACAACTCAGAATGATTTCTTTCTACAAAAGTATATTCAAACTGAAGCAACTTCTGTTGTCTCTGTTTGCATTTTGAATCTGTACATATCTGTCAATATTATCTCCTTGAAAGAAATTTCAAACAAGCTGTAAAGCTGTTGTTCTGAAACCACAGCATCCATTACATGTTCTTCCTATCAAAAGTACTAACTTACCCCAGTGGCTGTGCATTTGCTGGGCATACTACTATTTTTTTGGGGGGGGGATCAGCAATAAAAAATGAGTTTACATCTCATTAACTTTCTATAACATTTATTTGTGTTATAGGAGACTACTTGAGTGCTTTAGGTGATGTTTTATCTTTTACTGATGTCTGATCATGAGAAGTATCCAACTCTTTGCAAAACATTTCAAAGAAATCATCGCCAAACATCAGGCTAGTAGCAGAGGCTACAGAATCACACTGAGAAAGAAATGTAATGACCTCAGGATGACTTTCAAATATGTGTAAGCGTGGCGGAATATCAATTTCAAACCAATAAGTGTCAAAATTTCAGATCAATAATTGCCAAAATTCTGGCAAAACAAATCACTCATTAGAACAGAATCACCTTGATAATTAGCATCAGAATCACTTCACTACCATTTTATGCTTCTTAAGAAGCCATTCATATTAGCAGTTATCTGAGCTCAGTTTCATGACGCATTCAGCATCTCAGTGATGCAAACATTATCTACCAAGAGATCACAGCCAACTGTTAACAACAACTACTCTCTCAGAATTTGACAATAAACTCACATGGCTTAGTGCTCACATAAATACTTATGTGAATTACTTAGAATGTTGTACATGGACAGAATTAATAGTGTAATAGGATGAATAAGTGCAGAAAGAAAGAAACTGCTATCAAACTGAAATGTTATCTGAAAGAAATGAAACGCCTTTTTGAATATAACTGCTACTAGAACTCGACCACGACTTCCCCGGACTTTGTCACTACTTGATTCTCGCTTCCGGTTGGTGTGCTGCAATGCAAATGCACATTATTTTATAAAATTAAAGTGAAAGGCCTTAGGGCAATAATTTGAACTACTGGTAAAGACTAAAAAGCCATGCACCAGCTGCAAAATAATGATCCTAGATCTGCTTTCCAGTTTTGCATATCACTCCTGATGAAGAAGGACCTGTTCCTGTTCACCCTTGAAATCGATTGAGATCTTGACTAAATCTTAGCCAAACACAAGGTTGTTGCTTCATTAATTTAATGTGCCACTTGGCATAATTCTTTTCTGTTTTAATTTTTCCTGTAAGAGTATTTTGGACTTGAAATAATATTATTTATTTATTTTCCCTCTCAAGTAAATAATTCTGCATTGCATGTAGAGGAGCAAAGGCCTCAGGTGAAGAAATATGTAAGCACGACTCTGTTAACTAGATTGCTAATTTTATTTCTTCATTAATCATTTTTGCACACATGGGTATTTAAAAGTACAATTTTTTTAATGCTTTGCGTCAAAGCAAAATTATGCTTCTAACTGTGTATCATGATTAATTATATTCTCATCAGCTTTTTTCCTGGTCAAATAGATTAACGGTTAAACACTACATTATATTCTGTAATAAAGAGAGTACTTTAAAATTCAATTTAAATTATGTTGCCTTCAAAATAATGACTGCCCTTTTATACACATGAAAATAATAATAATATAATTTCTGAACAAACAGAATTCCTCAAATCTTAAAAAATACCCGAAAAATAATCAGCATAAACTTTTCACATGAATATCTTAAATCAACGTTTTCATATGCTGTCAATATCTATAAAGAAGAAAAACTGGGTCCTTCTTATGCAAATGCTGACCTTGTTTATCAACATGGTAAAAGACCATTAAGTTTTTCGAAGCAGAAAACATGAAAAACTAGCTATGCCCTTGCCGAGACTTGAATTCTATGCCTTCTGATTCCTAGCTAGACGTGCTTTCCAGGTACACCATGAAGACATACAAGCATAGAAAAAAACCTTACAATAGTTATTACTAAATTTATTCAGAGTATAGTGTTACAATAAAAAGTTTAGTCTTAGAAACACCGTCGTGAGAGATAACAGAAACTCCCCCAACCTTAATTTCAAACCTCATATCACCACCAAAAGTTATAAGCAGTCAGTAACAATGATCCATTTCACACATAACATACTGTATAGCATAACACGTTTTTGTATACTGTGAATAAAAATCAATATCAGAATTCAAAATTTATTACCTTATTGCTTTTTAATTTGTTTACTATCATAAAAAAAATATTTAAAAAGGACAGTTCTATATCTCTCGTTCTACTGAGCCGTTTGACAAAATTCAAATTGCATTTTTTATGTCTCGAAAGCGCGACTTAGGATATATATTAGATTTATATACAGCACTATTCTAACATAGGTATTTTGATACAAAATCGGACTTTTTCTGAAATAACATACCATTTTTTTTTACATATTTCGATTCTATGACTCAATTTATGACAGACTGCCTAGTTTTGTAAAAATCGTACGAGTAGTTTTTTAAAAAAATTAGCTCTCAAAATTTCAGCTCCTCAATATTAATTGAATTTGGCATATATTTATTAATATCTCTTTTTTCATTAAACTTTTTTTGATTTTTTCCTTTCACATTCGAAACTTAGGTTCATTCCAAATAAAAATTCACCCATTTTTTGTGTTTTATTTTTAAAATTTCTATTTTTAAACAATTTTTATAAATTTTGCGAAAAATTTTGAATTATAACCTATAAAATTTTTACCATCATCTTAAAGTAGGTGTAGTTCTAAGCATACTTGCAAAAAATTAAGAGTTTTTTTATTCAAAATTTTCTAAGATATACGCGAATTTACATATTTTCGCGTTTTGAAATCTGGCATTTTTTTTAGCAATAATAACGACAAATGTGGTTTATGGATTTTTGTTACAGTGAATTAATTTCCACAGCTATTTTCAACCTTAAATTTCAAATAAATTTTTAGGGAGAATTAATCATATGAAATTTTTTCCCTCAATGATGCATAATAAATATTTATTAATACTATATGAAAAGCTATTTTATTAAAATTATAGATGATTCAAATTTTAAACCTTTTAAATTTCTTTTTTTCTCCCTTTTTTTAAAAAATATTTGTAAGAGTAAATTTTTGCCTTAGTGTTATCGTCTGCCACTGTACTTTGACTCCATTTAAATTGAATTGTCTAAAACTGAGAAAGTTCGTTTGATGTTTATTTTCACAAAGTTTTTAAGCAAACAGGACATTGATAGTTTGGATCATGTCCCAGCTTTAAAAATTATATATGTAATTATAAATTTTTACATTAATTCTCTTCGAAAGAATGTTTTAAGTGGTTAATTTTCTCTCGTGTTATAAAGAACATAATCTTTAATTTGACTTAGACTGTTTGTAGCCGATATAATAATCAGGTCACTCATTTTTAAAATATTCATCCTTTGGACTTTGGTTTAAATATTTTTAGTTAAA